TAACCAATGCACCCAACCCCGTCAGGGCAGGTCCAAAATTTACTTAAGGGGGGAAAAAACGGCCCCCCCCCCCCGGAGCACAAGCTACAGGCCAAACCACACCCCCCACATCCACTCATGTATTTATCCAACCTATTTTTAAAGCTAAAAACAACGTTTTGGCCCCTAAACTGTACTTGGGGGTTTGTTTTCCCCCACCACAACCTATTACCAAACCAGCTTTCCATATCCTTTGAATCGAATTTTTTTCCCAAATTAAAACCATTGCTGCGAGTCCTGTCTACTAGATATTTTCAGCACACATTTCATCCCCTTTATTTTTTCCCGGGTTTCCATTTAAACCCCTAAAATCATATCCCCCCTAATTCAAACGTCTTTCTAAGAGTGCAATTCGGGGCCCTCAGTCTATCCTCTTAGAGAAGGTTTCTAAAAGGGTTTATAAACCTTGGTAAAAAATACCGAAAATTTGGGTTTAAAAAGACACGTAAGAAAACACTTGAAATTTTTATTGAAAACGTTTCGGCCCCGGGGCCCTTTTGACACTTTAACATACAGGGGTTTTAAAAAGACTTAGTATTAGGGGGGAGTGTAAAGGTTGGACGCCACGTAAACCTGAGGAATGCAAAAAGAACATAAAAAATGGGGAACACTGTAAAAGGGCCCTACGGGCCCCTGCGGGGTTTTTCCTTATCAAAAAAACCTCTACCAAGATGGGGAGGGGTAGACGAAAAAATAAATGTGATTTCCTGTGTTTTTGGGGTTTTTGGGGGGTTGCTTAAGTATCTTAAGATTTTTGGTTCCATCGCTACGGGGCCTTTCACTTTGCTGGCAGTAGTCCTATTGGGGGTTTGGTTTTTCCCCATTTTTGGGGAAGGGGTTTTTTATTGGTCGTGAAGCCCTGTTTGCGCCTCTCTAAAAAAAAAGGAACAAAAATGCCCCCCAACCCGACAACTTTACCCAACACCCTTAAGGAAGAATTGGGGTTTGGCAAATATGGAAATTCGGGACTGCCCGGGGAAAACAAAAAGTTTTGGGGAGAGTTCCTCCTGTTTGAGCCCTCAGGCCCAAGAAGGGAAAACTGGTCAGGGGGGGACACAGGGAAAAAAGGGTTTCGATCAAGAAGACGAAGGGAAAAGGGGAAAAAACGTTGAAGAAAAAAAGAGCCCTGCCTTTAAACTTTTGGGGGAAAAACATCCAATACTTCTCAGTGTACCGACAAATGGGAGTGGGCCTACTGGGAACGTCACAACGAAACCATTAAGGAAGGAAGATTTTTTTTTGTTTTGGGGGATGGGCCAAGTTAGGTAAATGGATAGGGCGTTCTCCCTTTGAAGGACGGAAAAAAAAAAAGGGAGCCCAGAGGTTTGTTTTCCTGGGGGGGGAGGGGGGATATTTTTTAGCCTTCTGGAAACATCAGGGGAAGAGGTAATGGGAGCAATCCTATTATCTTTCTCAGTGGGTGGGAACGATGTTGGGAACTTTTGGAGTGAAAGGGCCCCGTTTTGCAGGTATAGGTCAGCAATGAAATAATTAGAAGTAAGGGTGGGAACCCTTTTCATATGTGGTATTTTGCCCGGGGGGAGTTGGAAATGAATGGTTGTCCAGGGCAATTTGGGGGTCAAATTTGCTGGATGGACCCAAAAACGTAAGGAAAATGCGGTTTAAAATTCAAATTTTACAACCCGGGACCTCTTTTTATGGCAGAAATGACTTTTTTTGCTTGGGATGGGGTTTTTACTTATCAAAGGGGTTTTGGGGGGGGGGACACTGGCAACTGCAAATTTGGGGGGAGCAGTTAGGGCTTTAAAAATAGGGGAATTTGTTAGTGGTTGGGGTTTTTTGGGAGGGAAAAAAGGGAAGTCCCATTTTTAGTTAAAATTACGAGTTTAGGGGGAAATAGTTAAAAATAAGAACAGATAGATATTTTAAAACCAGGGGGCCTTTGGGGGGATAAGGGGCAGTAATAGGTTTTTGTAGAAAAAAAGAAATGGAGGAAAGGGGAAAGAGGGAAAGGGGGAGTCTTTCAATGTTTTTATGCTAAATTTCCCTTTGGCTAGGAAAAAAATGGACGAGTTGAGATTAGTTGCCCAGTGTAGGAAAAATTGAAAGTTTTTGGGCCCTTTAAATGAGACTTTTGGGTTTTTAATTTTAAAAAATCCGGGGGCTTTTCCTGCGGAAAAGTCATAATTTAGGGTTTTAAATTTTCCAAAAAAAGAATTTGAAGTATTGGGGGGGGGGGGGTGGGGTGGGAATTTTTATGTCCGAGAAACGCTGAATGTTTTCATAAAAAGGGTTTTTAAAATCTGAAGTAACACAAACAGAGTCTGTTTGGGATTGAATTTTTAGAGGGGGATGAAAAACTGAATTTTGGGGATATACCTTCCCCCCCAAAATAAGATAGGGACCAAGGGAAACTATATGGGAGGAAAATTTTTAAGGCCACAAGGGACGTATTTTAGTAATTCTAGGAGACTTTAACTTTAGTCAAGTTGTTTGGGAATTTCTTGACTGGGAATTTAGAATCATACGACTTCTTAGAAGTATTTCAGGATTGTTTTTTGAAGCAGTTTGTGACAGAACCTACAAGGGGAATAACCTGCTTGACTTAGTTATGGCAAACAATGAATCCCTTGTTAATAATTTAGAAATTTCAGAGGAACTGGGTGTAGCGACCACAAATCAATTACATTTAGCATTGAATGGAAGTACGATAGTAGCGAAAAACTCAGTAACAGTCCCAGATTTTCCCCTTAGCAGATTACGATGGGCTTAGAGAACACTTATCATCTGTTGGACTGGGGGTAACGAAGAGAGCTATCAATATGACAGTTTTCTGAACACTATACATGCTGTCAAAGAGCGTTTATCCCATATAAAGAAATTAGATCAAATAGAAATGACCCAAAATGGATGAATAATAGGCTCAAATATCTACTAGGGCATAAGAAAGAATTTATAGGCGTATCAAAAGAGGTGAGGGTCATCTTAGAATCGTATATTGACATTAGGAGGGGACATTTAAAAGGGGATAAGAAAAGCTAAAAGGGACTATGAAATTAAAGTTGCTAGGGATTCTAAACTAACCCAAAAAGTTTTTTCCAAAGGGCTATAGAACAAAAGTTAGAGATAAGATAGGTCCCTTTAAAAAAAACTATGGGCACCTTACTGACAAAGAGAATGAAATGTGCTTTATTTTAATAATTATTTTCTCTCAGTTTTAACAGGAAGACACTAACAATATTCCAGTAATTAATTTTTACAGTGGGTAGAAGAAGATAAATTATGTAACATCACAGTCACTAGTGAGATGGTTGTGAAGCAGATAGACAGATGAAGCAAAATTAAGTCGCCGGGTCTGGAGTTTACCTGGAGAGAGTTTCGGGGGTCAACGCCCCCGCGGCCCGTCTGGACCAGGCCTTTCCTGGTGGATCAGCGCCTGATCAACCAGGCTGTTGCTGCTGGCTGCACGCAAACCAACGTACGAGCCACAGCCCGGTGATCAGGGAAATGTCTTTAGGTGTTGTCCAGTGCCAGCTTGAAGACTGGGCCAAAGGGGGCTGTTGGTAATCCCCCTTATGTGTGCTGGGAGGCAGTTGAACAGTCTCGGGCCCCCGACACTTATTTTATGGTCTCTTAACGTGCTAGTGACACCCCCGCTTTTCATTGGGGGGATGGTGCATCGTCTGCCAAGTCTTTTGCTTTCGTAGTGAGTGATTTCGTGTGCAAGTTTGGTACTAGTCCCTCTAGGGGTTTCCAGGTGTATATAATCATGTATCTCTCCCTCCTGCGTTCCAGGGAATACAGGTTTAGAAACCTCAAGCGCTCCCAGTTTAAATTTAGGTGTTTTATCCCGTTTTGCGCGCCGTGAAAGTTTTTCTGACATTTTCTAGGTCGGCAATTTCCCCCTGCTTGAAAGGG